TGTCACCTCAATGAGGGGACTGGAATGCAGTGTGGCAGTAGTGTGGGTCTTCCTGTGGCCCAGCAGTTGACTGTTCAGATTTGAGTCCTGCCTCCAGCTCCCAGCTGCAGCTTCCTGCTAGGGTGGCCCGGAGGAGTCAGCAGGTGATAGCTTAAGTTATTTGGTCCCTGCTGCCCACATGACTTAGATGATACCACTGCTCCTAGCTTTAGCCCAGGGCAGCCCCAGACATTGTGACCATCTTGAGGGTAAACCAGTAGGGAAGAACAATCTTTCTATCTCTCAGTCTTCATCTCAAATTAAGAAAGAAAACCAATACGATCTGATCCCAGGATTATGGAATGCTCTGCCTCTCCTTAGTGCACCACTACATTCATAGGGTGTTTAATCACAGGGAAATACAACTTTCGATCTGATTTAAGAATAAATCTGTAAGGAAACCTGGTGATAATGGGACATACAAAAAAGTTTTAGCCTCTGACATAAATATATATAGCTATATACATAGCTACAGAAAGCGGTGAAACCAGCATAAACTCCTAGCCAGATAAACATAAACTGGACAGAGTTCTGAGCTCCTGCTAAAGCCTGGATAAGCCATTGCTGCCTATAGGGGAGTGAACCAGTCAGTGAAAGGTGTTCCCTTCCCTCTTTGTTGCTTTGCCTTTGAACAAATAAATGAAGGCAGAAACATTCTCAAACAAAAACTGAAGGCATTTCTGGTCACTTTACCTTTCTTGTCATAAATTTTGAATTCATTACAAGGGAAGAAAATTGCAAGTTATGAACATGGGCTACATTAAAAATGAAAGAAGTAAATGAAGGTAAAATGAAAATTTTACTCTTAAGTGATCAGCAAAACTGTATTTTAGATAATAGTAAATATTTGATTATTGCAGTTTACAAATAAATAATTGATAACAGCAGTATTGTAAGAATACAAGATACGAATGAAAGATACTGTCCAGCGTCTGGTTTACTCCCCTAATGGCTGCAATGGCTGGACTCAAGCAAGGAGCATGGAGCTCCATCCCAGTCCTCCACATGGTGGCAGGGCCCTAATACTTAGACCGTCTTCTGTTGCCTTCCCAGGCTCACTAACAAGGAGCTGGAGTCAAAGTGGAGCAGCAGGGATTTGAACCAACACTTCCATATGGGATGCTGACATCACAAGCAGCAGCTGAAACCACTCACTGCACCTCAGCCTGCTGTACTACAGCACAAAGCCCCACAGATAGAAAAAGCATATATATGATCTTGTGATATCTTAATATTTTTGTGCATTATTGAATTGGTTTGCCAGTATTTTGTTGGGGTTTTGGTATGTATATTCAAGAGTGAGGTTTTCCGCTTCCATGCTCTAGAAGATAATCTAAACAATGACTGGGGTAGGAGTTTGGCTCAGCCATTAAGGTGCTGATTGGGATGCCTGCATCCCATGTCAGAGTGCCTGGTGTCGATGCATACCCCGGGAGGCCACAGCTATGACTGTTGATTCGGATCCTGCCACTTGAGTTGCAAATCTAGATGAAGTTCCCAGTTGCTGCCTGTAGCCTGGGTTAGCCCTTTGAGGAGTGAACCAGTGAATCACAGCTCCCCTCCCCTTTGCCTCTGAAGTAAATGTATATGTATGTGTGTATTTGTTCTTTCGAAGTTTTATAGAATTTTCCAGTGAAACCATGCCAACATGTTTTGTTTTTTAAATTTTTCCCATTGTGATTGAGTTACCTTCAAACCTCATCGAATTTTTAAGTCCTGTTTATTTATTTGAGCTATTTTAGTATTATAGTCAAAGATTCATAGGCTCCAGCAAATAAAGAGTTCAACAAGTAAAAAGTAAAATATCCATGGTCCAGGAGGTAAACAGGCAAGGCTTGTGTTAAGTAATCAAAGGAACAGACATCATTCATTTAAAGGAAATTTTTAAGTTGTCACAAAATCATTAAAATTGCAGTAACTATATAGTTCCTGTAAGCTTGACAAATAGAGCAAAACTTGACTAAATATTGCATTTATGACAAAACTGATACACAAGCTTTTTTTTCTTTTTTTAGCTTTCACACATAAGGAGAACATGCAGTATTTGTCTTTCTGTGTCTGACTTATTTCACTCAGCATGATGTGCTCCAGTTCCAGCCATTTTGCTGAAAATGGTAGACTATTCTTCCAATCCATGAGCAAGAATAGGTTTTGTATTGGCTAAATTGTTTATTTCCGGGAATTTGGTTATTTCATCTGAATTTTCAAATGTGCAAGCTTAAAGCAGTTCATATTTTCTCAGCCTCTGTAGTTGTTTCTGTTTTTTTCCTAATATTCTTTATCTATGGTTGCATTTTTTGATTGATTCTCATTGCCAAAACCCCTCGGTTGCATTAGGCTTCTAGCAGGAAGAATCCGCTCCTTCTCTTGATTGTCTCCTCTGTCGTGTTTGCTTCCTCTTTATTGCCTGCTTTTTATGATTTCCCCCTACCTCCTTTGAGCTTGTTTTATTCTTTTGGCTTTTCTGTACTCACTGAGGTGTGTGCCTGTATCACTAAGTTACTTTCTTTGTTTCTTTCTTTCTGATACAACCTGTTTAATTCTTCATATTCTCCCTTAGTAATGTTGCAACATGTGATACCTGCTGTTCTCACTGTTATTTAGCATGGCACATTCTTAAATGTCTATTTCAGTAGTCTGTTGACCTATGATGTGTTTGGAATCATAGTTCTTTATGTCCAAACATTGAGGCTTATGTTGATTTTACTCTTGTTACCATTTGGGCACAGGCTATGGATTGCACAAATTCAGTCATTTGAAGTTTCTTGAGGCTTCCTTGCTGACCTGGTAGAGGGGCCTGCAGGCATTGTCTGTGAACGTTCAGATGGTAAAGATTTTAGGTTTTGAGGACCATAGAGGATATGTCAAAACCACTCCAACAGCCTTCATTGTGTGAGAGACATTTACACAGGGAGTAAATGAATGCATGTGGCTGACTTCCAAGGAAACTTCATTATGAACTTTGCTTATGGCAAAGATAGTTCTTCGTTTACTGTTTATCCCAAGCGCTTTCTCAATATCAGTCACAGAAAAGGTATTTTAACAACAACAACAATAAACTGTTGTTAAGAGAAATTGAAAGACCTAGATGGGAGGGACCAGCATCAGCATCATGGCACGGTGGGTTAAGCTGCCGCCGCTGCTGTAGCACCCACACCCAAGTCGCAGCTTCTCCAGTTCCAGCTTAATTTCCTGCGGACACTGCTGATTCCAGTGCTTGAATCCCAGGATAGAGTTTAGGCTCCTGGCTCCACCCTTGTCCAGCCCTGGTTTTGTGGCCATTTGGGGAAATCATTGGATGGAAGATCTCTGTCTCTCCCTCTCTCTAGGTTGTTCTGCCTTTCAGATAAATAAATAAATAATAAAATAAATAAATACATCTCTTTCAAGGACTTGGGCTGAAGACCCACGTTCATTCAGTGGGTGTTGGTGTTCCAGCTGTGTTCCAGGGCAGCATCTTCCACACACAGGTTTCCCTCTGTCTCCAGCCGCTTCTCCATTTCCTTTTCCGGTAACTTCTGCACCCCTTAAACACTGGAGGGTCGCAAGATACTGTCCTTGAGCCTGATGCCATCTGTTCTTATGGTCTCCCTAGTTTTCCTTGAAAGTCTTCCTGACTTTAGTACCTTTAAGATGTTGGTTAGGTCATGCCCTGTCTTCTCACTTCCCAGCACCCTCCAGAAGGCTCGTTCTCACCGAGTGCTTCTCATTTCTTCCACTGTTTTTGACCTGGCCAACTCTCTTCCTTTCTTCCTTTGGCTCACTTGGCTTCAGCCGCTGTGGTTCCCACACGGTTGCTCCAGCGATTCTAACTGCACCGCCCCACAAGGCCGTGCATCTGCTGCCCCTCCGCCTGCAGTGTTCCTCCGTCAGGTGTCCTCTTACCCTGGGGTCTCACTCCTTTTAAGTCTTTCCTGAAATGCCATCCTTCCTGGACATTTGATATAAATGATACTCACCTTCCCTAAAGAAAACGAGTCCCATTGCTCTACATACTTCGTCATCATGGTACTTTTACTACCTTTTCATATAGCCACATATTTTAAGTGTTTATACTGCAAATCTTCAATAAAACTTTGAGTGAGCTCGGTGGAATAAAGAAGTTTTAAAAATTATTATAATGTTCTTTACTGTACCCCCAGTAAATAAAAATATCTTGCAAATAAACAAGTGAAAGTGTAAGTGAATGTAAGAGTCATAAAGCAGACCCAGTCTTTGGTCTCATGTAGCTAACAGTCTGCTTATCAGTGATTGGTATTAATGAAATCCAGAGAACAAGAATTCTAGAAAAAGTATGAAGACGTCAAGCATTACCCACAGGGAAGGCATGGGTCCAGCAAAGGATTACCAAGTCCGTGTTAAAGAAGTAGAAGGAAAAGAGGATAATGAAGTGTGTCTCGGAAACAAGGGAGACGAAAAGTTCAAGAAGAATGAGGACTGTAAGTGGGACCTTGTCGATGTCAGCTGAGGTAGCTCTCCTCTCCATCAGCACCCGTTGGTCACTTCAGGACCCAAGGCAGGAATGTGACCAGTTCTGCAGCTGGTGTTCAGGAGTATGCCATCTTGGTAGAATGCAGTGAGGCACACCCTGGTACCTTGCATCATCCACATGCCGCAGGCACACGGAAAGTGTAATGTCATCTTGACACAACAAAAATACAGAACATAAGCCAGTGATGATGACATGTTTGTGAACACTTTGCTGCAAAGTTCCCAGTTAGAGGAGCGTTTGGAGAATCCCTGCTTCTCAGTTGGAGAGCCCTCTCACTGTGTCCTGTTAAGATCAGCACCTGCACACTCCATACCCCAAATGACAAGCCAGCCTACATATCCACTCCATGTCTGAGACATTACCCAGCTGTTATATCTTCAGTTTGACTTCTACTGTTTTTTTAAAAATTGTTTCTTTTATCATTATTATTAATTACATTAAAAATTGTTTCTTTTTTGCAAATCCACAGGTTCCATTTTTTGGCCCCCTGTTTGATGGAGCCATCGTGAGCGGGAAACTGCTGCCCAGCCTCATCTGTGCCACGTGCATCAATGCCAGCAGGGCCGTGAAGTGCCTCATCCCACTCTACCAGAGCTTGTATCTTTTTCCTCTAGATAGGTAACCTATTAACCATACTAGAACTGAGATTTCCTGGCAGTTTTCCATGAGAGGTAAGTAGGAAAACTGTTTTGAGGGAGGGCAAGAAAATATTTTTTCAAAATTGGTTCAACAGTCACGTGGTGTGATTTTCCTGTCGCTTGTAAATATAATACCTTTGTGTAGCATTGAATTAAGAAGAATTTACTTTCATGACTTCCATAGGTTTGTGCATAAGAAACTGTGGCCATCACGAGTGCTTCTGTCTTCTTGGGGTTTTTTTTTTCCCCCTCCAAATTCAGTTTCTTCTTCGGTGCTGCCTGTGCGTCACAGCCCATGATACAGAGCGTGGCTGATGAGCGCAACCCAACAGTCTCATTGGGAACGCCTCCCAGATACCCAAAGCAAATGAAACGACTCTAATAAATCAAAGGATGTGGCAAGTGCCACCTGAGAAGTGCAAATCGAGTTCTGGAAGGTCAGAGGAGGGGGAAATTGCATCTGGTCGGAAGACGGGGGACTGTTGTGTTTAGATTTGTGGGTAACAACGGCTAGAAATTCTTTGGTGATTTTCCCAAATCATTAGTATTTTCCACTCTAATTTCTAATCTTTGTCTCAAGAAGGCTCAAGAAATTTTCACACTTGAGCTTTTTTTTTCCTGAAACGTTAATTGGCGTAGTATAATCTTTAACTCCAAGCATAATCTCTAATTATAAGAGAAAGAGATTAAGGTGAGCAGCTTCCTGACATGGCTGTACAAAACATCACAGTTCCTCATAGAACTTAAATTAGCATCTCTTTGTATCTAATTAGTTTTGATGATAATTTAAAAATTCCATTCTTTGGTCTCACTATGTATCTTTCCCCTAACCTAATGGTAAGTGATGTATTGCTAGCTAGTGGCACTGGATAAGGGGGGGGGGGGGGCGGTAATAAATATCATGTGTGAATAGATACAGTTCATGAAAAATACCTTTCATTAAAATCCTAGTCAGTTCATTGACTGATACTCTGCCTTTAGATTAAAAAAAAAAATACATATGCCATGTGGCAACTTAGAATTATCATAGAAATTAGTGGTAGGAAAGAGCTGTTCAGTCCCATCTGGGCCCTCCCCGGGGGCCAGGCGGTGTTATTTCTTCCAGCGTACTCCTTCATGCTGTGTCCAGGCTGCTGGGAAGTGCTCTGGAGCTGACCATCTTTGCTGTGATTGCCACAGCACTCTAGGCTCAATCTTAGGGCTGGGTGTCGATGGAGTCAGTCTTCAGCTTAGAGTTTGTCTTTCCCATGCTGTGGGGGAAAAAAAAAAAAAAAAAAAAAAAAACCCTTCTGGCAAAAGTGACCAAGTCCTGTTCTGTGTGGCCTTCTCAGTTTCAAGTAAAGTAGGAGGAACCTGTCAATAAAGGTATGCTGGACCATGGCTGCAAAAAGTATTTGCAAATAAGAAAAATCCATTTCAGACAAGATTTTTGTCACACAACTTCTCATTCTAAAATGCATGCCTTGTTATTTTGTTAAACACTGCTGTAATTGACATCACACCATTGGAGTAATCAGGTTTAAGGGGTGATATTTTTAAGAATTCAAAGAAGAGTGTTCAGTCTGACTTTGGAAACTTTTCAGGCAGCCGTTTCAGGACTAATGTAGATGCCAGCTAGAACTACTGATGTTCATGTGGGTTCAGTAATTCATTTCTCCGTGTTATTTCCTAACCAGTTGGATATCTCAGAGGACAGCTCACTACAGGATTAAGGAAGAAGCTCACAAAATGACACTGATTGTTATAAAAATGTTAACTATTTTTTGCATTATATTGAGATAATTTCAGTGATGCTATTCAAATCAGTTATTGAAAGCAACAAGTTGGCTGTTACTAATTTTATACACACATATGCAGTGGGGAACTACAATCATCTACTAAGAGTGTTCAGTGTTTGTCTTTAAAAAATAACTAACAACTAATTTTTGAAACTCACGTGGATGAGTGGGCAAGTGTGTATATGTGTGTGCCAGTTTATTAATTGCTTTTATATGTTTCGTTAAAACATTTGGGTCCAGACATGGGTTTGTGAAAATCTGAAGTCATTTGATTGTGTCATGGTAAATGTCTGAAGTTTGCTGTCTCACAGAAATGTCTTAGACTTGAATTTTGAAAAACACTGAATAATCTGACTAAGTCTGCTTATGGATATCTGAATACATTTATTTACTGACCAAATGAGCAGTTACTGTGGATCCAGAGTTGGAGCTGGGCCTGCAGCTGAGAGCCAGACAAGTTAGGTTCTTACCTACATGCCTTTTCCTTGCGTGCTGTGTCACAGAGAATAGGTTAACATGTAGAGACGTTGATTGACTGAAGCTCCATAAAGAACCCAAACAGAGAGTTGGGGTGAAGATAGGCTTCTCTGAGAATAGTTAACATGCACTAAGACTGAGGGGAAGAGGGTGGGTGGGGAGTACTCCTGAGAGGAATACCAAGTCTCAGGGCCCCACATGGGAAGCTTGGGTTTGGAAGGACCCTTAGGCACATTTGAGTCCACAGTGCTGTGAGGGACCCGAGAACCAGCTTCCAGCAGATGTGGGAAAGCTAAGCATCCTTGACCCTTTGTCCTGCTCCCAGTCTTCAGAGTCCTCATCTCAGTACAGTGTCCTAGATGTGTGATGTAGGACAGCAAAGGTAGACCAGTCCCAAACCTCTGCAAGACCCACAGCACCTTGCAGCCATGGGGATCCAAGACTTGCCACTTAAACCTGAGGGTCCCAGGGCAGAACAAAAAGGTGAGCCTCCTATTCAAGAAAGCAGAAAAGGTGCCTTTAATAAAGGTACTGGAATATAAACTTGTTTCCTTTTTCATTCTCTGTGTTGTCATTTTTTTAACATTGATTTTATTTCATATATGTTACAAAGGAGGAGAAAAAGAGGGAGAGACAGAGAAATCGTCCATCTACTAGTTCATTCCCCATGTGGCCAGAGCAGCCGAGGCTGAGCCAGGCTGAAGCCAGGAGCCTGGAACTCCACCCAGGTTTCCCACACCAGCTTCCACCTCCCTCCCAGGTGCAGTAGCAGGGAACCTGAATCAGAAGCAGAGTATGCAGGACTAGAACCAGTTCTCATGTGAGATGCTGGCATCACAGGCCACAGCTTAACCCCCTAGGGCACAATACCAACCCCTCTTGCCATAGTTTCTATTTGTTATTTAATGATGTTCTGAGAAGTATTTAAAATGTTAGCATTAATTCTATAATTCTTTATATTGCATAATATCAATTTAATATATGCATGTAAACACTTTCAAACCATATCATACATGTGATTACTAAAATCACACAATTTCCATTTCATAGTTCATATGGATATGTAGATAAAGAGTTCTTACCAGGGTTATAGAAACACTGCCCCAAATTAGTTGATCTGTTGTTTTTCACTGTTCATGTACACATAGTTTGCCAACAGTCTCTACACATCGATTTACTGCTGAGCAAAGAACTGATGGGAAGAGACACTTGGTCACCCTGTTTTTCAGTGTCATCATCACAAAAGAATAATACAGCTGAGGAAAGAGGTGACAGGATGTACGTGGTTGCTCAGGTTTCTTAGGGCCTTGTTGCTTTCTTTCAGCCTTGAAAGTCAGGTCCGATTCAGAGGAACAGTAGTGGTAAAAGGCCAAGGAGGCTAGGCCACCCCTTCCTTGTGGGGCCTAGGAACTCTTTTCCTGAGTGTTTAGGAGAATGGGGCCCCTCCGCATGGCCTGGCATTAGTCCTCAGCAAAATGGCCTGGGAACCAAGACTCATCAAGGAGCAGAACAGCTTATATATACAGCCCCTTTAGAGACAAAACAAAATCTGAAAAAAGAATTACTATTATATGTTCCTTTGGAACTAGGTTTCTTGATCCACATGGGCCACCTTATATGGGCAACCCTAAATCCCCATTTTGTTCCTAATTTTTACTGTTTTGATGAATGTTGCCAAACTGCTATTTTTTTTTTCCAAATATCACTTATTTTACAAGTAGTAGAATGACTTTTTGTCATCAAAAAGTCCTTCTTTAAATCCTTTAGGAAAAAAGCACTCGAGGTTTTTTTTGTTTGTTTGATTTTTGTTTTACTCAACCATATGTAGGCAAACATTGAAACTGATGAGCAATAAAAACCGATGGAATTACTGGGGGGTAGTTATTCTTACCTCCCTGGCTCCTCCCAGCCAACGATTGCTGTTGGACAGCAATGTCAGTTGGGATCCAGTTTCCTATAAACGGCATATTCAGCTAGAAGTGGAAATGTGGAGAGACAGACTGATTTTGCTCAGCAGTGGAGGTGAGGCTTGAAGCCCTTGTTGGAGCACATTGGCCTTTCTGGTGGTCTTTTTCAGCAGCACATGCAACTCAGATTCAGTATCAAAGGAGTTGTTGTTTAGGGTAGCCTTGGCTAGCTGATGAGACAGTTGGAACTGTGTGTTAAAGGCACACAGGGGACTGAAAAACACTATTGTCTTACCCCCTCAAAAATACGTGAGCCCAGCAGGGATCTGTTTGAAAAGCACCCTCAGTAACATGTTCACTTGGCCCCGTTGTTCCTGTAACTTCCTCAGCGGGCTAAATCAAATCTGTCACATGGAGCCTTCCTCCAGCGGCCACTGCTCCTGTGAGCAATAGGGCCAACTCACCTGCCATCTGCTTTCTTGCATCCCCCATGGGCAGTCAGAAGGCCGGTTCCTGCGCCTCCACTGTTGTACACGGGAAGCTGGCCACATGTTATGTTTACAGTTCCCAAGCCAACTGGAGATTCCAAAATCAAACCATGGTCAGCTGATAGGCACTTCCAAATCCATTTAAGCCAGAGCTTTGATTCTCTTCACCAGCTAACTTGTGTCGGGAGGACAAGGTTGCCACACAATATGCAATGTGCCATTAGGAGGAGTTCACCCTGAATCAGACAGATGGTGGCCTTTTAAAACAAACGTTCACTTCAATAGAACAATAGTCTCCATGGCATTCGC